CAATTCTCAATAAAAATGTGTTCAATTTATTAATCAATTTTATATATTATTTGGCGTTTTTGTTGTGTTTTGACGATTTTTGATATAATCAATTAACAAAACTCACTTTATAAATTGTCTTTGAAAATATAATGTTAAATATAGATTTTTAAATCAGAAGTGGCAGTGCTATAAATATCTCTGAGGATGGTAAGTTGTGTAACAAACAAACATTGTCAACACAGGCTTAAACATCTAACAAGTGAAATGACGTGTTCCCATATTCAAAAATAGTAACTTACTCAATATACATTTCAGACAGATGTAAAAGTGTAAACTTTCTATTTCTGTCATCCTCAGAAAATAAATGCCATCCTCAGAACTGTAAATTCGTTTAAAACACAAGTTAATATCAAAATGAAACATTCTTTTTTAAATATACACAACATGATTAACTTTGTTATTACAATAAATTTGAATAATTGCATAAATTACAAAATTATTTATAAATTTGTTATTTTAAAAATGCATTATTATTAAATCAGTGTTTTCGACTTTTTCAATTTTCATTTTGATAAAAAAAACAATTATCAATTTAAACTTAAATTTTAATTATTATGTTATAAAGACGGATTCGAAAATAATTTCAATAAGTATATAATCATAATATGAACAAGTTGAATACACACTTTGTTGTTTCCCGTCTCAAGTAAACGAGTTATAATTATTGTTTTTGTTTACTGATTATCGTGGAGATTTTTTGATTGTATTTATTTTTTTGGCATTTATGACAAATTATTACCATTATTTAAAATTTGAACTTTGACTTGAAATATTAAGTGTAAATTATAACTTGAGTTGTGAGAGTGGGCTTTATGGGGAACTGAACCTTATGGATTTGATTTTTGTATCCTCAGAAAAATATATTTTAATAAGGATAGCTTTGATCTTGAGGATACACCTTATCCTTAAGAAACCCTTAATAGTCGTAAAAACCTGGGGGCTGATCTCTTGCTGTAATGTCGATTATGTGAAAACTGCTGAAAATGCCTTTTTTATTTAATAGCAAATTTATATGTAATTTATTTTTAGAATCTTTTTTATTTTTATATTTATAGAAAAAAAACGCAATTTTTTGAGTCTCATGCATTTTTCTTAAGAAAAAAAAATACTGTTGACCAGTTAACAAATTTGGTAAAGATAATTAATAACAAATTATTTATAATACTTATAAATTAATCACAATTGAAAATAAAATAAAATATTTAATTATTTGTTTAACACGTTTTCTTGTTTCCCTGTTAATTTTTTTATTGGGCAGTGTTATTTTTTTCTTTTTTGTCGTTTGGTCTTTAAAAAAACTGGTATGCCTGTTTTATTTTTTCTTAACATTTTTCTGCACAAGAATATTACTCAAACAAACTAACAAATAAGAACTAGTTTAAATAAGATATTATATAGAACATATAATTTTTATATTTTTTTCTGAATTTACGCAATCATAACGCCAAAAAATCCTAAACAGATATTTTCAAGCCGATAAAATTTTTAGTATTAGGCGATGTACTTGGAGTTTCCAAAACAGGTTCACTATCAAGTACATTTCAACCACCTTGAATGTCATTGTTATTGAATATATAAAATAATATATACATTATATATAACAAACATGTTTACTTGTTGTTGTAATACATTTTATAACGCAGTTTGTTGCAATTCAATTTTTTGAAAAGATAATAGTTTGCTGACTTGTCTGTTTTTGCTTTTTTTTAATTCTCCGTAGCACGTTCCGTTGTTTTTATCCAACTTATTGGTGTGATTGTTTTCAACTATTTTCTCAAAAAGAATCTGAAATTTAATTTGATTATTTTTGAGATGTGAACAAAAAATTAGCGTTGGTGAAAAATAAAATTGAAAGATAAAATAAACTATTGTTAGTAAAAACAACTGTATTATTTTGTTTCAAAAAATAAACCGACTATTAATTAGTGATAAAAAATAGCGGAATAACAAGATCAATGAGACTATTTACATTGCTTTTGTGATTAATTCATATAAACATATTAATATCATGATTAGTATATGTTGTAAAATCAAATGGGAATCTTCAGTCATTATTCGATATAAGAATTAATTCGATATAAGGGAGAAAAATAAGAGGAAGCCCTTATATCGAACAATAGAAAAAAAAATGAAAAAAGAAATTTATGTGTTTGCTTTTTGTTGGTTATTTCAATTTAAAAACCCAAAATGGTAATAATTGGATTAATTTGTCACTAAGTTAAAAAGTCGATTAAAATAATATAAAAATAGAATAAATACTATGTTTTATTTTTTTAATAAAACATTTTTTATTAAAATAAACAAAATAATGAATTTATTATAAAAATAGATAAACAAGTAAATTTTATTTTGAAATAATACAATGAATGTATTTGCATTCTTTCAAAAAATAGTTTCCTTGACAAATACGAATCATTCCGTTTATTAACATTAACAAAAATGTCTTTATTTTCAGGTTCAATGTCATGTAATCTTTTTTGGAATTCAATGATTGTTTTATCTATTTGCTCTTTTTGGACAATGAGTGTCTGAATATTTTCTTTAATATCTTCAACTTCTTTTTCGTTTATTTTTAACAAAGCATTCGTGTCGTTGTTATACTCTTCATTCGTCATAGTAGCGGGTATATTTTCTCCTTCAAATTCCCATTCATACACAGGATCAATAATTTCGTCACAGTCTTCAAAGCAATTGCGAAAACCAGCGTGTTCCCCACAATTGGTTATTGTCATCTTAGTCACTTTATCCCAAGCATTTACACAAATCTCAATTGCGTTACCAACTGTGTAAGTAGGCAACATTCTCTTGAGGTTTACCGAACTTAATACAACATCCATAAAAAGGCGATGGTTATGTATCTTAAAAGACATAATTATACCGGCATCATCTGGTTGATATTTGGAATGTTGAATTTTCAGGAAGGTTAGTGAGAACTATATGCCTCAAACCAGTGAGTTCATACACATAACAATTCTATTGATCCTTGCCTTTGAACTTGTATCGCTCGTCAAGATCAAAAAGTTCGTTATTTGTTTTCAACGTCGAAGTGTGGCTGGGACAAGTATCAACTATTAAAAGAATAGTTCTATTTGGAGTTAAGCGATCAATTTCGTCATCCCAGGATTTCAACCATTAATGAAATATATAAGTAGTCATCCACGATTTTTTCTGGTTGATGTATATTGTATTGAAAATAGTAAGGTGAGGGTCTTTAAACCATATTGGGTTTTTTGTTGGTCCGATAACCAAAAGAGGTCTTTTCTCTCCCACAAGAGAAGTACAAATCATTAAAGAAATGCGAGCCTTTGACACTTTATAAACCACTCTTCTGTGAATCATCAAGTGTCCTTTATGGCAAAGCCATATAATACAAACCAGTCTCATCGGCGTTGTATACATCTTCTTTGGGGAATTCATTAACAACCTTTAACAGTTCTTCGAAAAGAGGACTAACCTTTACCAAATCTACAGAAGCCGCTTCGCCATGAGTTTTGTTCATTTTAAAATTGTTTATCTTGCAAAAAATGGGCCCATCCAATAGAAGCACCTTGGTGAATAGTATCTGAGTGCTCTTGAATAAAACATTTGGCTTGGGAAACCAACATAAAATAATCAATTGGTATTCCCGCTTCACGAACTTCATAAAACAAATTGATTATTGCTTCCTCGAGTTACGGGTTCTGTGGTTTTCTTATTCGTTTATACGAGGATGGAAAGTTTATCAATGTTTCTTTATAAATTGAACGCAAATGATAAACTTGCTTTGGAAAAATTACTATTTAAGTTGTTGTCTTACAACTTCGATTAATTTCTGTGTGTTTTGATAAAGATTAATTAATTCAATAATTTTTATTTTGTCTTTTAACATCAATGATGTTCTCGTTTAAACACGTTTGGATTGCATTAAAACTTAATAATTTAACATATTTATTTGAAGTTTTTTAAGTCTAAACAGTTAATACAAAAGTTTTATTTGTTATGTAAATTGTGTTAATATGTTTGTCTTTGTCTTTTGATATATTATAAAATTTATTATTCATTTAAGATAAAAATATCTGACAATTGTTTTCAAGACATAGGCAAAGTGTTTATTTTGGTTATTAAAAAATTAAAATTAAAATAATATTTTTGTGACAAAAAACAAACTAAGGTATTTATTTGTTAATTATACAATTCCTCATTTTTTCCCTTATTTCGAATAACATTGGTACCCGGTATTCCCTTATATCGAATAATGACTGTAATCATAATTACACATTTAAATCAGATCGTTTTATTTTAATTAAAATAGTAAGGCTGAATTCTAGTTTTTCAAAATAAACATTGAGGCAAAATAATATTATGGTAAAATAAATCCACAGATAAAAAATACACAAAAATAAAACCTGTTAGATATTTATTAAAATATTTGTTTTTTGACAGTTAAGGGATATGATATATTTAAATCAAACTAACTAAAAATTAAAGTTTTTTATACTATTTTTCTGATTCACTGAACTTATATTTTTCTCGTAATTCGCCGAACATTAAGATTTGTGATAATTTGGCAAACTGTCATTATATATATATACATTTAATTATTGACGTTATTTGATAACCATTTAGAATAATTTACGATTATAAATTTATTTTTCATCAATTCACACATTTCCAAAATAATTATAGCCGAAAGTGTTATTATAACATACAAAATTTGTATAAGATAATCAACATATTGGTTATAAAAAACTGACGCAAGTTATTAGAATAAAGATTTTAAGAACCTCTGATCAATTACATCATTAATTACCAATTCTTTTATTATTTGTATATATTTTTTTAATATAAAAATATATTAAAAATTTTTATATTTTTTAAATTATTAATTTAAAATGGTGTTTTTTGAATTTAAAACGTTTAAATACATTAAAAAGCTTTTATATTAATTGAAATGTGTGAATTGTAAAAAAAAGACTTGTTTAAAATCCTAAATATTTTTTCAGATTTCGTCTGTACTTTTCAATTTCTTCTGTTTCCTGTTGTTGATTTCTTGTCAAATCGACAACAATTTGTCCCGGGTCTTGATTTCCATCTTTGTCCAATACAACCAATTTGATTTTCCCTATTATTTCAACTTCAAACTTAAATGTGATTTTATCCCAAAAATTGAACCTCAGAGTAGTTTCGAATATTCCAATCAAACTTCTGTCTTCTGTAAGTATGACTGAAACAGTTGGTGTGATTGTTGGGACACTGAAAGTAACATTTTCAACTGGAAGGGGTGTTCCTTTATTAATCAATGTAATTAATACATTTCCTGTTTTATGTTTGTGAATATCAACTATTGTCATCAATGTATTCACATCTCTTGCTGTTATTTGTGTGATATGATTTTTGACTGTTTGTGAAGCAACGTCTCGTGCATACAAACAAGCGCCTTTAGCGATAACCAAATTACTGTCTTCACGCTCCAACAATGGTCGATCGGGAAAAACTTTTCTTAACATTTTTTTCACTTCAGGTATTTGAGAACTTCCACCAATTAAAACGACACTTTTTATTGTAGAAGATCGTATATTACCCTTTTTAAGTGTTTCTTTTATTGTTTCCTCGCACCTCCGAAAAATTGACAAACAACACTTTCCCAAAATATCACGAGTAATTGTTAATTCAAATTCACTGCCAAATTTGGTGAATTTCAGAGTAACATTTTCTTTGACAGACAACTCGATCTTTGCATTTTCAATCAAATTCTTGAGTGATTGCCTTCGTAATACTTTCTTTTTTTGTATTGTTGTGCTATCACCATTTTGCACTTCAAATAAGTTGTTTACCTCATTTTCATCATATTCCTTCCACTCATTCATGACATAATCCAGAAGTGCAATATCGATGTCAATACCACCAAGGTTTTTATCGCCATGAATACCACAGAATTTAATATGACTGCCAGTTTTCTCGCCAACAGCAGTGTCTAAAGTTCCTCCTCCAAAGTCAAAGAAAAAGACCATTCCGTTTGGTAAATTGTTTTTGAGTGAATAATTATAAGCAGCTGCTGTGGGTTCTGATATTAATCCAATGACATCAAGGTCCGCTATTTTTGCTGCTTCTTCGGTTAAGTCCCTTTGTTTTTGATCGAAGAAGACGGGGTGTGTCACAACAACTTTGATTGACTGTCTTTGAGGGTCGAAATTCACACTTTCAATAATTTGCTTTTTGACGTGACTTAATATGATTGCAGAAATTTCAACGGGGCGGACTGGTGTTGGGCGACCTTGGAAAGTCGTGTTAAAATAACAAAACCCGTCAGTGTCTTCTAAAATGTCTGCGTAATTTGATTTGATGTTAACAATTGAATCATCACCAAAAGGAACACCCAAAATACGTTTAACTTCTGAAATGTTTGTAATTGATTCGGTCGCTACTTTAACTGGATAACTATTGAAATCAACAGTTGAACGAATGGATTGATCTTCGGACGAAAAGGTCAAAGTTTCGACACATTGAGACACATTGGAATTATAAGCGGCTTTGGTATATGTTGTGCCAAGATCAATACCAACATATATACTTTCTTTTTCCATTTTGATTTTTTTGATTATTTTTGTTTTTATAATAAAAATTGGAATGATTATTAGTTCAATAGTATAATTAAATTATAAAAGTGTGGTATATTTAATGAAGTTTTTATTTAAAATGATTTTTATTTTCTTTTAAAATATAATTTAAATTTAAATAATTATTTTTAAATAAAAATATTTTTTATAATTTAGACTGATTTTTAAAAGTTTGAATTTGTGTTTCGTTTATGTATACAAAAATAATTGAAAGTAATTTTTAAAATACAGTCTGGACTTTAATTTTTTTAAATATTGTTTAAGTAAATTATAGACATAAAATTTTTACTTTAAGAAATTAACAAATCAGTAAGTACAAACTTTTCATCCACAGTTTTGATTTACTAAAGTTACCATATTTGTGTATTTCAATTACTGTACTAAAATAAAAACGAATTTATGAAACCCAAAAATCACCACGGAAAGCATTTCGAGCACAACTTTTGTACTCCAAATTGATTTTGTTGTGGAATATTAGAGACTAAATCTAATTTGATTTAGTCGATGTGACAATGCAGTTATATAATCAATATTATTTACATCATCACAATTTATGTGTGCAACATTTTCTGTTTTTTTTTGACATCACAAAACACTTTTTGTACATTTATAAAACGAAATGTTCTGTCTTATTTCTAACAGTCATTACATAATTATTGCATTTTTGGAAATTGCTCATTTATACATTATAACTATTTAGTAATGTATATTATCAATGTGCTAAAATTATTAAAAAGTTGAATTAATCAAAGTTAATAATGTGTTTTTATTTTTTAATGTTATTAAAACATACAGTAATACTTCCCAAGATTGGGAAAATGTAGTAATTTTGTACTCTCAAGAGCGGGCATTTTCGCCAATCAAACCTTAATTACCGCTCTACAGATAACTCTATTTATGGTTTTAATCGAAAATCAGCCCGCTCATGGGAGGTATTACTGTATCGGGCACACATAGAGTATTCTATCTGTTTTCAATAAAACACCTTTTTCGACCAAATAATAAATGAACCAAATGTAAGTCTGTTTGAAAATGTTGTCCATTTGACAAAATTTTACAAAAATAAGTTTTAAAAATTGGGAATTGGTAAAAATGTTGAAATCAGGGTAAAAATTATGAAACGGTGTTTTAGAGTGTTTCAAATCGTTTCGCGAAATATTAAGTTTTGATGGTTTAAAATGCTTATACAACGTTGGAAAGCGGACAACGTTTTCAGACTGACTTTATATATAAATACAAAGAATGTAAGTTTTGTTTTTTGAATAAAATAAAAAATAATTATTTATATAAAATATAGTTGATGGTTAATATTCTTTAGAAAATAATTCAATCTTAAAATGTTATATGGGCATATATTTATACTCACCATCGCCTGCTGTTCATCTTTTTATTACTGGTCTTGATGCAGCAAGTAAGACGACAATTATCTACAAATATTGTCAGATATAAAAACCTACAATTTGAAGTTAATAATCAATATAATTCATTTATAAGTTTTGAACATATCAATTTTAAAAATTACGAAACCATCACTTAAGATTTTGGTGGTAACATGCGACCAGAGCCTTTTATTACCAAAAATGTTGTTGGATGTAATGTTTTGATGTATGTTATAGATATTTCTGATGTCTATCGTCCACAAGAAGCCAAAGACGAAATGTTCAGATTTCTTCAAGACTCTGAAACTCGTGGTATCCCACTGATCATAATTTTCTCAAAAGTTGATTTGCCTTACAACATGACTGAAACTGAATTAATAAAATTTTTCGAGCTTGACAAAATAAAAGAACGAAAGTGGACTTTTATAATGATGAGTGCTTACACAGAAATGGGCTTGTTAGAGGGGTTTAAATGGGTCGAATCAAAGGCTAAATTAATTTTTTAATACGAAATGGGTTCAATTATTTATGTTGTAATAATATTATTTTTTTATTTGAAAACGTTCATTATAATCATTAACTATTTTTAGTTTAGCTTATTCAAAAAATCAGGTGTTAAAAATAATTTAAAATTTTGACATTAGTAATGGTGTTTGTGCTAATAAAACTAACAAAATAACTTAAACCAACTTTATTATTAGAACACTTTTGAAATTTTTGTTCTTTGTATATGTTTAAATAAAACAACTGTTGCACTTTTATTTGATAAACTTTTTTTAATATCATTTCAAAAAGAAAGAGCAAACACTTTTTATGTTAAACACATTTAAATGTTCAACAAATTCGAAGACAACAGATTAGTTATATTTAGTTGTTTTACGCTTGTATAATGATTACTTGTGTCATAGTTGACAAGCGAATATAATCTTAAAATATGAAGCTATTGTTTTTTATTACAAAAAAAAGTCTAAACACAAAAAAATAATATTTCTTTTTATAGTTCATTTATTGAGTTTGTTTTACATTGTTTTTAAAGTAAATCAATCAAATATTTTTTTATAAGTCGTCTTAAACAAGAATCGAATAATTATCATTGTTGAGTTATATAAGAGTTTATAAAAGTTTTCAAAAACAGAAAATTATTATTTATTCAACAACATGGTTTGTAATTTAATATTGTTTGATTGAAAAACTAATGAATAATGAAAAAGAGAAGAAATGATCATGAAAGTGGTGTAGGATGTATTTGACATATTTTGATGATTATTTTATTATTATATCATTAATAA